GTCAGTGAGGAGTAACAGCCCCTCCAAATAGGCTTACTACCTCTTTTTAGCCTCAATAGTCAACCAGTTGTTTAAGCAGCAGCAAAGAGGATAAAGAGCAGGGTGTATTTATGTATCCCATGCTTTTCATATTTCCCCTCAGGGACTGATTCTGCACGTTGCTCAGCACGTGCCTTAGTATAATGCTGGGAGTTCCTGTTGTGAGTGGGTTAATGAACATGGCTTAGGTAATATAAGTGACCCTATGATTGTAGCTTTAGACTAAGTATCTGATTTAGATTGTAGTTGATGATCCTTTGAACTTATTTGTGATCTGTAGTATTTGAGATGACAATGATTTTAATGTTGGAGGTTTTCTCATGTTTTTCAACAGGTGTTTTCTTCTTGTAGCGATGAAAATTACCTTGTTCCATCTGCTAGCAGCAAGTTGGGATGGAAGTTGGTTGAGTAGCATTCGTACCCTGTTGAACATAATACCCTTGTTTTGACCTTAAATGAGGGCATAACCCCCACTTCTTTTGCTCCCCTCCCCCCTTTTGCATCTCATCCTCCTTTTTGAATGCCAAAAGTCAGTAGGAAGTGTGCGGTTGCATCATACCATCTTGGATGACGTCATTGCACATTGCATGCATGGCAAATCATCCCTGGATATCCCACCCTCTCCTATAGAGATTTGTATTCTCTACACCCAAGGTAAGAGGTAGATAGAGATGTATGGGAAAGGAGGGAATGAATGGCAGACTTGAAACCCTCCTCCTTGGGACTCCTCATAGGAACAAAAAAAACAAAACAGTTGACAGAATTTGTTGCAAGAGGACAAACTTCATTTTTTAGAGTTTATCATAGTATTCAGCACTATGATAATGTCAGGCATATTGGAAGTAAGCTTTAATCTAATTGTGATAGATACAGAAGCTAGGCAACTTTATGATTCAGAATTGCAAATAAATCCACAAAACGTATCGGAAAGAAACTTGGGTAAATGTCCGTGCCTCCCTTCCCACAGGAGATCTACAAGGACCGTAAGAAGTTCAACCAGAACGTCTTCGAGGTTGCGTCCAGTGACCTCATCAACATGGGCATCACTGTCCTCTCCTATACCCTGAAGGACATCCATGATGATGAGGTAAGGAAGGTGGCTGATGTGTGCCGAAGGGAACACTTGGGATAGGGATTTTTTTTTATTTAATTTTTTTTTCTTTTTTTTTTAGTGTAATTGTACTTTATAATGATAATGATAATATCAACACCAGTTTTGCTTCATCATTGTTATCTTCATGATTATGATGATGACTTGTTACGTTTGTTATTATTATTGCTATTATTGTTATTAATAATAATAATAATAATAATAATAATAATAATAATAATAATAATAATAATAATAATAATAATAATAATGATAATAGTAACAATAATAATGATATTATTATTATTATTATTGTTATTATTATTATTATTATTATTATTATTATTATTATTATATGTTATTATTATTGTATTATTATTGTTATTTATTATTATTATTATTATTATTATTATTATTATTATTTTATATTATTATTATTATTATTATTATTATTATTAGTATTATTATTATTATTATTATTCTTATTATTATTATTAGTATTATTATTATTATTCTTATTATTATTATTATTATTAGTATTATTATTATTATTATTATTATATTATTATTATTATTATATTATTATTATTATTATTATTATTATTATTATTATTATTATTATTATTATTGTTATTATTATTATTAATAATAATGATAATGATAATAATAATAATAATAATAATAATTATTATTATTATTAATAAATAATAATAATAATAATGATAATAATAATAATAATTATTATTATTATTATTATTATTATTATTAATAATAATAATAATAATAATAATAATAATAATATAATAATAATAATAATAATAATAATAATAATAATAATAATAATAATAATAATAATAATTATTATTATTATTATTATTATTATTGTTATTATTATTATTATTATTATTATTATTATTGTTATTATTATTATTACTATTATTATTATTGTTATTATTATTGTTATTATTATTATTATTATTATTATTATTATTATTATTATTATTATTATTATTATTATTATTATTTATTTTTTTATTTTTTTATTAAAATTTTTGTTATTATTATAATTTTTGTTATTATTATAATTTTTGTTATTATTATAATAATAATAATAATAATAATAATAATTATTATTATTATTATAATTATTATTATTATTATTATTATTATTATTATTATTATTATTATTACTGTTACTATTATTATTAATATCATCCTCATCATTATCATTGTTATCATCATCATCATCATCATCATCATCATCATCATCAATATTGCCATCTTCATGATGATGACGATGATTTGATAACCATGATCATGATGATAGTAATGATAATGGTAATAATGGTACTACTGTTAATATAGCGATAA